AGCGCCTACTCCTTATCAGACAATGAGCTTTGGTTGCGGCACTTGCTTGGCCTTGTTATCCAAGTTGGGGTAGCTATTTTTGTCTACTTGAGGTTTCGGACCAATTCCATTTTGACATACATGGCCATCCCGATATATATTACCGGTTTTATCAAGTATGGAGAAAGAATTTGGATTCTCAGGGCTGCCAGCAACAAGCAGTTTAGCAATTCTGTTTTCTCCAGTCAAATCACTGAAAAATCTCTGCCTAATTTCCCATCTGAGGGTTTAAATATGGATTCTTCCCCAACAGAGGGCTCAAATATGGAGAAATTGGACTTGGAGGAGCATTTAAAGAGAAAAAATGTTATTGAAGAAGGCAAATATATCCACAGAGCCTTTTTGGTCTACAAGATTTACAAACCTCTTTTTTCAGACCTCAAGCTCAGGATTCATAAGAAGTTAAGAAAAATCTTCATCATTCCTTCCTTGACTCTTGAAGATGTCTCCATGCGTCGCCCCTTGCGTACTGTTGGAAATGCCTTCGTTGAAAATGCCTTCAAAATGATACATACTGAACTAGGCTTCTTGTATGATGTGCTCTTCACCAAGACTACCATACTGCAATCTGTAGTGGGCATAATCTTGCGTAGCATCTGCTTCTTGTCCACTTTTGCAGCACTGGTTGCCTTCTCTATGGTAGTTGGTAAGAGTGATTATCACAGGCTTGACATTTCAATAACTTACTTGCTGCTGGGCGGAGCAATCTTTTTGGACATTTACTCAGCCATGTCACATGCTTTCTCATATTGGACACTATACTGGTTAACCATTCCAAGCAAATGGGTGGATAAGCTTGTGGGCCGGTCAATTGTTTCTTGGCTAGTCGTTCGTAGAGCCGGGAAGAAGGAAATGATATCCATGGCACAACATAGCTTAATAGATTATTGCATCAAGGCCCAAGAATCCTGTTGGACAAGAATCTTGAGAGTTCTCGACAACGAAGGCATTTTGGAGAAGTTTTGGTGGACTTCTTGGAAACCTGTAAATTTGGACCTGAAAAAGTTCATCTACTTGCATCTTCAAGGGAAGTTCGAGCGATATCGAAGCGAAAGGAAAACTGATAATGGGACAATCGAAAACAAGGTCTGTGATGTATTTGACCATAAGCTGCTCTCAGATATATTAAAGGAAAGGGGGGATCATACGCTTCAAAGATATAGAACGCTTTTGGAGGTTGAGTTCAAATGGAGCACTACTGAAATAGAATTCGGCCACAGTATCCTTGTCTGGCATATTGCAACATATCTTCTTTTCAATGATGATAAAAAGGGAGATTCTGGCAGTGTTCCAGGTTCAAATTGTCAAATTAGCATGCTCTTATCGGATTATATGATGTATCTTCTGCTGGTGCGGCCACAGATGCTCCCTAAAGGGATTGGTGAAGTAAGGATCCGAGATACTCGGGATCAGATAATTCGATTCTTTAATAGGAAGAAGTCACTCACCCCCAATGACGCCACAAGTGCTCTGCTTGGTATAAAAACAGACGAAACAGGCATTCAAGAATTTTCCAGGAGCAAATCAGTAATGTTTGAAGGGTGCAAACTAGCATTTATGTTGCAGGAATTCGAAGGGGAATGGGAAGGGGATCTGGAAAAGAAATGGCAACGGAATCCGGAAAAGAAATGGAAGATGATGGCTGAAGTGTGGATGGAAATGCTAACATTTGCTGCAAACCGATGTGAATGGAAAGAGCATGCCACGCATTTGAGGAATGGTGGAGAGTTGCTCACTCACATAGCCCTTCTTATGGCACATCTTGGCCTCACTGAACACATTCAAGTTGTGGAAAGCGGAAGATTTACATCCGATCCCCATTTGGATTGGAATTGGGATCAACTTTCTGATTTGGCTAATTATCTAGCATAATTTGATTTTTCAAATCCTTGAACCCTGCAATTTTTTTTTCCTTATAATCAAGTAAAAATAAATCCGTTGTGTGTTTAAATTTATGAACTTGTCAATATTCAATAGAGAATCCCATCTTTAATTTCTAATATTAATTTATTCTTTACTATCATGCTTCATAATAAAACTAAAGTTACGTTTGAAATTATTGTGATTTATTATGACCATTACTAAAAGTTATCTTAACATTTTTTAATATTTATTTAAAAATTATTGTGAACCTATTGTGCTCAAATTTAATATTTAACAATTATAATTTGAAGAGTCCAACAATTTAACTATTGGATTGCTGATATGATAAGTCCAATTTATACTCGGCTTCTTCACCATCAATACTAGCCCCAACGAAACATGCTAGTTAGCACCTCCAAATCTCATTCAAATCATTCTAGTTTACGTGGAGCGATTTTTTTTTTTTAATGCTTTGAGCCTTAAATATCTTTTATGATATTAGTTAATTTTTTAAAAAAAATTAAGAAATTACTATAATATACTTTCTTCATCCCATATCTTTAATAATTTTTATTAAATGAATCATTTTATCAAAACAAGAAACAATGCCTCATTACGATGATACTTAAACAATGAATCAACTAATTCAAAACAATTTTAAATCTTTCTCTTTTTAGGATCTTTCTCTTTTTATCCTAAAATGTCTATTTTTTTTTTACTGATTTGTTTATTAAACTTTATCTTTTCCCATTCTAAATTCTAAAAAAAATAAAAGAGAGAACACGTAATTCAGTATTTATAAACTAAAATCATTGACTAAATAAAGACTAACAAAGAGTCAAACATTTATATCAACTAAAGTATTTGTTTGTTAATCAAATCACTTTCTAAAATAAATGAAAAAAAATTAAAAAAATAAAATTCTAAAACAATTCCAAAACTTAAAAGGTAGAAGATCTTTGAGTTTCTATTTAATTAAGAACCTCGATTCCGACGTTATTCAGCACACAAGAAATTCATTTATTTAGATTATAATATTGTCATCTTTTGCAAAACATTTAATTAAGTACTAATGTTCTTTTCATATTTAAAATGATGGTTATAATAAAAATGTTGTAAATTGTATTAGTTTAATTTGAGTTGTGAAGAGTGAAATATTAAAAAGAGTTAAATGACAATAACTTAAAATTTTACATGATAAACACAATATTTAAAAACTTTAACCTTCTGTTTGGATTAGTGGATTTGGAGGGGGAGTGGAAGAGAGCGAGGGGTAGATGTTTTCCTTATTATGTTTGTTTTTCTTCATTAATGGAGAGGGAGGGAGACAGAGGGTGATAAAGCTCTCTCTACCCCTTTGTTTTCTATCTTTCCAAAATAGAGGGATGATGAGGGATTTGATTTATATATTTAATATTTTTTAATTTTTTTTTAAAAATAAATATATAAAAATATTTTATTTCAATTATTATTTTAATTAGTAAATTTTAAATATTTTATTTTATTTTATTTTTCTTTAAGTTATTTAATTAAGTAAAAACATTTTCCCTTCCTCTTCTTTATTTTTATCTATCTAAAAAAGGTTAATATCAACCATTTTCTTTCCTTCACTTCTCCTTCCTTTCCTTCTCCTCCCTTCTTATTCTTTTCCTTTATTAATTTTTATCCAAACAAATCGTGAAGGAAAAAACATAGTTTGAATACTAATTTTGAAAGTTTTCAAAAGTTGGCTGCTTCCCCTCGCACCCCTCCCTCTACCCCTAAGCCACACCAATAGGAAAATAATTGGTACATATTAGGTTTAATATATTTTTTTATTCTCATATAATTTAGTTATTAAAAATATAATATAAATATGATTAATTTACACTATTAGAAATTTTTAATGTTCAGACTGAAACAATTTAGACCAACAAAAGATGGTTTGAAAAAATAAAATTTATTCCAATCACAATTAGTCTAAATATTTATTGATATGGAATTCTCACTTAGTTTATGTTATTCAGACCACAAACGGTCTAGAAATCATTGGCGGGAGCATAATAAAACACACAAAAAATATTCAGACCAACTATGATCTGAATATTTTCACACACAAAAAAAAAAAAAATCCAAGGCAGTTGGTTGTCGTGATTTTTTTTCTTTTTTGTCATATATCCGGGCGTTAAAAGGTCTGAAAAACGGTGAAATAATTTCCAAGCATGTGCAACACTCCGGAGGCATTGTATATTGGATATATCCAGACCAACTTTGGTCCAGATTATCTTCAGAAACATCTTGCCCATTTTTCGAGACCAACATTGGTCTGGATTATCTGCAGAAAAATTGCAAAACATCTGTCCCATTTTTCCAGATCAATTTTGGTCTGGATTATCTGCAGAAAATTCCAGCCGCTTGATATCTATTACATAGCTGCAAATCCAAGTATTTTTTTCTTTTTCTCCGATGTTGGATTCAAACTACTTTATTTGTTTCTACAAATCAACTTCGTCTTGACGTGAATTTGTCAATGCATTTTCTTTTTTAATAAAAGTTTCAATCTGATGAATGATTTATGTTTGGTTGTCTTGAAGAAGAAGAATTCTGCATTTTGCTTCTAGAACATACAGAGAAGATTATTCACTGTTTCTAGTAAGGATGCTGATTGGTGTACACCCGGTGTTGACCCGGGTGTGCACCCCCACATAGAAAAAACAAAAAATAGACCGGGTGTGCACATATCTTTATCCTTCTAGTAAACTATGATAAAACAGCTAATTAACATTGTCCTGAAGGTGATTATTGATCTGCATTTTCCCGGGCCGTTCATGGTACGGAAATTCTTCCCAACGTGCATCTGTTTAAGATGACGTCGGATCATCCTTTTTGGCCCATTTTCGGACCAACAATGGTCTGAAAAAAGGGCAGTCTGCAGACTTCTCTTTTTTCCCTATCCCTTCGCCTGTTTCCCATTTCAACTTTTTCCCATTTCAACTTCTCATTTTCCTTCCTTCTTTTGCCATTGTCTGCACCTGTTTTCTTTCTCCATCATATACCTGCTGTCTACAAAGGTCATTCTCACCATAATTCATCTCCAATCTATGCCCTAAGTGAGGGTTTGTATATATATATTTCGAATTTTTCTAGAATTTTTCTATATTTTTTAGGAAATTAATAAAATGTAATTTTTATTATATAATATTGTAAATTTGATGTTGTTTATGTAGATATTTAATTTGTATAACTATGAGTATGATATAAAATTTTATGGTGTAGAAAAAATAATAAAACTTTGTATTTTACTTACTTTTATATAAATAATTTATAAATTTTGACTCCTAAAATCATCCTCACGTCATTTATCTCTGGTTGGCATTCTAAACGAGTTTTTTTTTTTTTT